GCCGCCACCAGCGCGCGCACGCTGGGCGCGGCGCCGGGGGGCGCGGGCGCGGGGGCGCGGCGCCGCGCCACCACCTCGTTCAGCAAGAAGTTGGGGAATATGTGCTCGCGGGACGCCAGCGCCGCGCCGCACTTCGGGCAGCGCCGGTGGAGCTCCACGGCCTGCAACACGGCACTACATGTTCTATCGCCCACACAGACAACATACAGTCGTTGGCTGTAGAGTGTAGAGTGATGTTCGGACCTTGCTGATGCAGGCGTAGCAGAAGGAGTGTCCGCAGCGAGTGACGTAGGCCTCGTCGATGAGTTCGAAGCACACGGGACACAGCAGGTCGCAGTCCTTGTCCTCCAGCGAGCCGCCCAGCCCGCCCAGCGCGGCGAGGGGAGCCGCGCCCCCCGCGCCCCCGCCCGCACTGCCGCCCGCCGTCGCGCCCGACATACTGGACTCTCTGCAAACACCAAACAACAGACTCAGATACGAATAATGTTACACGTCACAGACAAGGAGACTAACGAAGGGATCACATACATTCTAGTTGTAGTAGTGGTAGTGCGCCATGTAGTGCAACAGTTGTAGCACGTGTAGCTCCGACTCCAACCCTCTATATATACAATATGGTACACATGTCCACAGAGTTGTTATTCTGGCAAACTGCTTTGATTCCTTTCTTTCCCTTGACTGCAGCTGCAGGCGTTTTCAAACCAAGGATGACTGACCGTCATTTGCCGAATGCATGCATCCTTCACCAACAATAGACGACCGACAAATGGCATCTTGTTTAGAAACAATAAAATCTGTCCACGAGGCCACAATACTAAATCCGTGCAATTATTCAGTATAATACATCAATGTCGTAGGCGTAAGGGCTCGTACACAAAACTGCGAAGCGATGTGATGACAATTCGCAACGCAAAAAATTACAATGCTAATTGCTGCGATTTCGTGCGACAAGGCGTCTCCCAGGGTGACCATTCCTTCGACAACCGTCAACCGTACTAAACGTGTTTTAAATTCTAGTCAAAAGAAGTATGCACTTCTGTTATTGCTTAGGAAACACAGGAAAAAGAAACAGAAGATTTTGGGAAGATAAGATTGTAATGCGCGATGCGAATCAATTCGCAAGTTCTTACGATGCGTAGAAGGAGCTCGCACATTTTTGCGATGCGACGTCGCATCGCAGTTTTGTGTACGATCCCCTTCTTAAGGGGGAAAATCATCGAATGGCTTCTCCCGCCTACGTGAGGCGTAGACACAACTATAGTTATTTTTATTAATTACGAAAAGTATTTGGAAATTAATTACGAAAATAGTTCACTTGATACATAGTTACATTGAACTTCCATCAGGGGGGAGAGGGGAGGGGTGGAGGGGGAGCACTGTTCGTGTAATGTACATAGAACACAAGTACCGGCACAGCGTCAGTGCGTCACTTGTACATTGTACATGTGTAAATGTATACAGGGTGTATCAGAATCAGAATCAGAATCAGAAAACTGGATTTTAAAAAAAATGTCAGTAGTAGTACGGAGTCTGAAATTGTGAGCAGTATAAATGGCAATAGCCCCTATTACATAGGACTCATAACATAAATAGAGAAAAGTGGGTGTTACATTGTACAGTGGCATAATATGCACCTCTGCCTACCCCTTAAGGCATTGGCTGCCAATAAAAAACTGTTGAAGGCAAATCCTCCGCAAATGTCGGTCACCGGTGACTGCCATGGCGTTTAACGTGTTAAGAGTGGGTAACCTATACCCGGCACAATGCCAGTCTCTGTGCTACCTACCACTGGAACAAAAAGCCCTTTTTTACTTTGTGCTGCACTTTTTAAATTCATTCCGGACATCATACAGACAAACAGACAAAAATTCTAAAAGCCATATGTTTGGCTTCCGTATTGATAGTAGATCACGTCACAAGCACTCTTTTAAAAAAATATTCAATGTAAAGTTATCATGTTCGTACCATTTTATTATGTACTAGCGACCTGCGCCGGCTTCGCACGGGTGCAATATGCATGATATAAACCTTCCTTAAGAATCACTCTATCTATTAAAAAAAACCGCATCAAAATCCGTTGCGTAGTTTTAAAGATCTAAGCATACATACGGACATACAGCGAAAGCGACTTTGTTTTATACTATGTATTGATTAAGTATACATTTGATGACACACATAATTTTCATATTTCTTTAGTACACTTTAAACAGAGTGCCTAGTGCATTGATACAAACCGAGTATTGTGAAGCCATAAACCACTAATTTCCTAAAACGTTGACATTTCAAAACTAACTGGAAAGTAAACTAATTTGTTAGGATGGCGCTCCGGGAGTCCCTTTGGGAAATGACACTGAATGTATAAAATGTGTAAAGTTGAAGAAGTTGCAATTTAAAATTAATAAAATATAGTGAGTTAAAATTAAACTATATGGGTTGGTTGCCAAAGAAAAAAAAAAGTTATATGTGGGAAATATGTTCTCTGCCCACTTGTGTTATGTCTAAATACCCACAATTATGTACAAAAAGTAATATTGTGCATCAAGACAATTTGTTTTGTATGTTTGTAGCAGACACACAGAAAGAAAAATAACACATAAATCCTACTAATATTATAAATGCAAAAAGTCTGTATGTGTCTTTATTAATCCTTCATGTCAAAATGGCTGAAGGGATTGAGATGAAATTTGGATACTGCCTATATTATGGTCTGAAAAAAGCATAGGCCACTTTTTATAACACGGGAATGCAACCAACGAGTTAAACTATACTTACTTCTGCCAATGACGGCAGAAGTAAGTATAGTTTAACTCGTCGAGTACCGTCATTATAGACACAATTATAGAACAATAGGTTGCGGTCACCGGTGACCGCTTGGTGTTTGACAGTTTAAAAGTGATACCGCTACTACAAATGTAATGTCTCGAGTTAACAGTAATACTAAATATTTAGTTGGACAAACTATTTATTACAAAATGTTGCGGAGTCTTATACAAAACCTGCCGACATGGACTAACTTTAACATCATTTGTATGGACTTTATGACAAAATGATCTTAATTCACAGATTTCAAATTAAGATAGGTAATCAAAATCAGCTGTTAGTTGCAGTAAACACTTTGAATTTTTTTATTCTTAAATGTCAACTGAGTCTCCAAAACAGTGCACAATAATTCAACAGCCAACAGTGTTGTGACAGAGAAAATAATATATGTAAATAATATTCACCCAGAAAGTGGTCTCCACATATTGATGTGAAGTACAGCACAGGAGAAACTGAACTGGTTGATAAACTTACATCTACCTACATTGTACCGGTGACAGTAGACATTACTACATGTACAGCTTGTCACAGCTGGCTGTGTGTGTAGTCGCTCTGTTTACAAACTATCCATACTCACACTGCTATCTAAAAAACAGTTTTACAAAAATGTGCACAGTCAGCATGTCAGTGTGTACACATAGGCCGTATTATCTACTGAACACTTATCAGTCCACGTATCTATGCTCCAGGCTGCGGTGTGTGTTATCAATGTGTTGTGTTGGTCACTCCCAACTTACTACTGGTTTCTTTCTACATGTTGTGATATTGTCTGTAATGGGCAGTGACACGTGAAGCGAGTCCGCCGAGGCGTAGTGTGCGGGTACAGGACCTCGCTTGGACTGTTTATTTATACGCCACAATCGATATCCACTGACCGAAACATGCACAATTACATACGGATGACCTATATCCAGCAGGAGTGGCCTCACTTACAATTCACTGTTGGTAAAGACGAGTGCGACGACTGGAGGAACATGCTAGGGCGCACGAGACGCCCGCGGGCTGATGCTGCTCTCCGAACCAGAGCCTGCTGGCTTGCGACTCCGCCCCGGCTTGGCTGCGATAAAGTTCTGCACCACTTGTTTTGTATGCTTAATTTACAGTTTCCACTTAATGTTTCATTCACTACACACGGTTCAACACCAAACCCCATCGTTTGAAATCACTGTTTTATTCATTTTACTACGATTTTTATCAACACTCGCGTATCTGAGTACACTTTGACGAGTTTGACATCCGACAGACTGAAGTTGCTAGCAGAAAATAGTACGTGGATATTTAGGTCAAACCGGGCTGACTGAGGTCAAGGACTTGCTTGATAACTAAGCTAAGGAAGTCCATAACTTGAAAAATTAACAAGTACTACCTTTATTTGTGTCTATTTCAAATTATATAAAATCTTACAACTTTCTAAGCAAGAAAATAAAACTAAAATAAATATTACAGTGGCGACATCTAGTTTAGAATTCAACAATCATACCATAGAGCAGACTGTTGGACCGACATAAAATTCACTATGAACTGTTTGACTGACAGCTAAAACGCCATTTTGCTATTATTACAGAAGGTTGCATTATCTGTTCGTCAACAATGTAAAGTGAAATGTTTGCTGGATTTTTACAGTGAATGTAATGTGAAGTGCTATTTTAGCCCTCAATTTCTAAACTAGGGTTATGGAGGAGTCCAACGACGAGCTCAGGGTCGTTCCCGGTAAGCGTATTTCCTAGAAAATATTGTTCAAAAATAAGAGTGATTGTCTTGCGAGGTCGTGTAATGTTAGCTTTCCCGATTTCAGAGCTCTACTTTCTGATAGCGAAATTTCTATCGGGCGGACCCCTGAAGGAGACTGCAAAGGTAAATTGGCTCAGAATGTGATCAGAGAGATGTTTTATAAGATAAACGACCTAACTGTTAGTGTTTTTTTTGCAGACTTTGCTAAAAGAGCTCGAGACTATAGAGGTGAGTTAAAGCTTTTCCTAGTGCCGGGTTTGAGCTTATATTGTTGTTTTGGTAGCGGACGCACGTGGCTGTGGCTGTCAAACTCGCTGAAAGTTGCGTGAAAAGTTTTAGTACAGCTCGCGGTGTTGCAGGTGCTGCCTCGGCGACTGGACTGGGAGGGACACGAGCACGCCCAGTCTTACGATGAACTGGTGAGTTTCGCAGAGTTTAGCGCCCAAACTTTGTTTATTTACGTTTTGTGGCTTGTATAACTTATTGGAATACATTAAATTGTTGAAAAACGACAAAATATCTCAATTTGTATTATGCATCAATTTGACCGTCTAAATACGGTGGAAGAACGACAAAAATATTTTTATGGTGTTTATGTGATAAAATTAATGTTTTTGGCTAATTTGCGAAAAAATGTTATATCATGTACTATCAAGAAGGAGCAGTGTCGTAATTATAACGCTTTCTATCTCGTTCCGTCACACGCGCGCGTGGCTACATGTCATGTTCTGTCTCGCTCTGTCGCTCGAGTGCAGCAGCGCTCGGACACTATTAGCTGTCGCCGGGCCGACGGTGGCCGATTACGCACGAACCGCGGTGACGTGAGGTGCCGCCATCTTTGAAATGCTCTGCGAACATATGCCTTGCACAATGAAATATTACTGATTGGTTTTTGAACGATTTGTTAATGAGAAATTATTAATTAACCTACCGAGTTTAAAATGAACACTCCATTATTATGACAGTTTTGATACACATTATCTAGTAACATCACAAGTTAAATAGAAAAGTGTAGTTGACACTCAATTATATGAATATGAGTAACCTCTAGGATTAATAATAACAGCTCAAGTAATATAGGTAATCACATAATTGGCCCAACCATGCAAGATCTTACAGTATGCAAACAATAATAATATAAACCTATAAAATATAATTATAATCTTTTAAAGCAGACACAATATGTTAGAGCAAATTAACAAGAACGGGATAGATGACTGATAGATATTATGTCTATGGAACCATCCGCGTAGAATACTAATTTTAGGACATAACTTTTTTTGTTTCAACTTTCCAAAATATAAGTATCCTATGTTACTCCTTAGTAAGTACATCAGTTACCCGCCAATAAAATTCTTGCAAAATCGAACAAACAGACATACTGACAAAAATTGTAAAAAAATATTTTAGTATGTGTATCATATCGTCAGTGGAAAGGAAAAAAGACTAAAGCGCCAAAAGTGGCAAAAGAGGTTCAAAGTTTAAATTTCGCGAAAAATATTAATATCATTTTAAGTATTTAAGTTAAACTGTTCTTTTAAAAGGTCATCGTGTTCTTGTTTTGTGCATTATATTTGATGAAAAGACCAGGTTTAAAGCTTATTTAGATAGCAAAATATAGTGGTCGCTTTAGAAAAATACTGCGAAAATTAATCCAATGTTAGTCAGGGTAAAACTTCTAACCTCCATTATAGTCCAATATCCAGTAGCCAATAATTGGTAAACAGTTCCAACAACCTTTTTGACAAAACAACTAAATTGCTTGCTTGTATCAACAGTTATGAATAAATATTTAAATACCAATAAACTATAATAATTAAAAAACTCGAATTGTTAAAGTACCAGCATCAATCGAGATCTAAAATAGCAAAAAAAAACTTATGTTGTGAATTTTAAAACACTTTGCCAGTGAAAACATATTTATGCGACATTTGTTGCTAACACACTGAAAATACGTCGCTTTAGTAGCTACGCGGGCTGCGATTTAAGAAAAACAGAAAAAAATTTAATTAAAGCGCCAAAAAAATAGACGGATTGACATGAGACCCACACAGATTAGCGCAGTAAAACAAATACCTATTCAGCAATGTATAAAACTCATTTTGGCCCATGGCTTTAGCATTTTTTCCTTTCCACTGACGATATGTGTACAAGGTGTAGTTTTGAAACCTTGGCATTTTTCTTTTTCGGGGGCATGTCACAGAAGTCATAAAGATTCAATATAAGAGAAAATTTTGGGCCAATACTTAAAAATATGGCTATAATAAATCGTTTAAGTTCATATTGGAGTTTTATGGAATTAGGAATTATATCAATTACGTGTTTGAGTTTGTGTGTGTTAAACCGCGTTATAAAACTAGTTACAAGACGGCGGCGTGTAGTTCGCACTTACGGATTTCCGTAATTTACAAAAAAATGAAAAATATTTACCTATAATTTTTTTAATTGATTCAGACTCAATCGATAGCCGACTTACCTCCTAGAAAATGACGCGGCTTTAAAAGAACACCTTGTATATGCATGCAGTACAAAGAAAGTAAAAAAGCAGTTATTTTAATATTACAAACAGATACTCCAATTATATTTATAATATCTGTATAGATTTGATTGTGCAATGCAACTATGTAGTTATTTTTTGCTTTTTATTTCTTTTTTTTCATTTTTCGTTTGCTTTTAGTTTTTGAAGTCGGTTATTTATACACAGTTTTTTATTTTTATTTTATAGTTTTTAGTTCAATATTAAGTTATTAATACTATCAGTCTAAAATCATACAGTCGTCCATCGAAGACGTCTTGACAGCGCAATCGTGCGGGGTGTGAAGGGCGAGACGCGGGTAGGCCGATCCCGAGCTGCGAACAAAACAATGTTAGTAGCTCGGGATATATTATTCAGGGCCAACACATGTTTTTACTTTTTTACCACCTCAAAAAAACGTATGTTCGACGATTACCGCGTTGTTTGTGTTCAAAATTTATGTTTCAAAATTCTTGTTTTATTTGAAAGGTTACACTTCCGAGGTGGTCCCATTGTCACCAGGTCAGGATCTGATAATGCCTAATGGGATCCCAGGGAAACCGAGGGGAACTTTTGAATGTTATAGGGACAACTAGTGCGTTTGTTAATATTTTCAATAGGTATTTTAAACCAGTACAATTAGACATAGGGCTGGGTCGATCTGATGACGGAGCCGAAAGTTGAGGGAACTCCTCGAGGATTAACACCTGTGACCCCGTGTTTGGGCTTGAATTATTTGTATTCATGAGACTTTACACTTAGATGGAGTGTAATTGTCAGTAGGGGTCTGATGATGAAGTAGTACTATAGTTGAGGGAACTCTTCAATAGTTAACAGTTGCTGTCTTGTGTTTGAGCTTGAATAATTTGTATTGATGAAAACTTTGCACCCATGTGTGTTGATAGTATCAAATTAGTATCAGTAAAACATTATATCAAATTGTAGTAAGTAGTTTTAATCAGAGTAGTCAGTTAGGAAATGTCGACCTCATCGTTCGCTTGATAAAATTGACGTGTAAAAGTGCTGCCTTGTAGCCTATTTGCAGAAATAAATTCACTTGTTTCACTTGTTTCACTTGTTTCACTTGTTTCACTTGTTTCACTTGTTTCACTTGTTTCACAATAGTTAATGAAAAATATTAACTAAATCACTAGTCGCCCTTATCATTTTTAAAAGTTGCCCTCGGTTTTCCTGGGATTCCGTCATCAGATCCTGACCTGGTAAAATGGGACCACCCCGAGCGTACAAACCTTTCTACAAACGTCGGCCGCAGTCATCGCGTAACATACACAAAAAAACAGTTGAATTGATGACCACCTCCTTTTTGGAAAGTCGGTTAAGAAATGATCTATAATTCTTTTAAAATGAGCTGTACAAGGACACACTTTATTATGTAAATCAGAAACATTAATCCCCCACCATCCACCGGGAGCACGTGCGGGGCACAATGACGACGTGTGCACGTCATACATGTCAGTCAGGGAGTGGAGCTCAGGGAGACTCCATGTAATTAGTAATGTCTATAGTGCAGTATGTTACGCATGTGTGTGTGTACGGGCAGGCTTCTCAACATGCTGACGTGTCGTGGCGCCGCCTGGCGTCGGTCTGCGAGCGCGCTGTGGCACTGGCGCGGCTGGCGCCCAGCCAGGCTCCGGGCGGGGGCCCGGCCGGCGCCCCGCCCCGCATAGCGGCGCGCCTGTCGCTGCTCAGTGAGACACTGGTGCGCCCCCGGCCGCGCTACGCGTCCCACATGACCGACCACAGCCTGGTGCGGCGTCTGATGGCGCGCGAGCTGGGGCAGGGCGCGGCGGCGGCGCCGGGCGGGCGCGGGGGTCCGGCGCTGTTCCCGCCGCGCCTGCTGGCCGGCCTGCAGCTGCAGCGGCGCACGCTGGGCCACCTGTCGGCCGTGTACTGCCTGGTGGTGGACTGCTCGGGCCGCTACGTGATGACGGGCGCCGACGACATGCTGGTGAAGGTGTGGAGCGCGCTGGACGGGCGCCTGCTGGCGACGCTGCGCGGCGTGGGCGCCGAGGTGACGGACGTGTGCGTGAGCGCGGACGGCGCGCTGCTGGCCTGCGGGTCGGTGGACCGGCTGGTCCGCGTGTGGAGCCTGGGCTCGGCCGAGCCGCGCGCCGTGCTGGCGGCGCACGCCGGCACCATCACGTCCGTGCACTGGGCGCCGCCCGCGCGCCGCGACATGCGCTGGCTGGCCTCCACGTCCACGGACTGCTCCGTGGCCTTCTGGACGTGCTCCCCGGACGGCCACTTCCTGTCGCAGCCGGTGCAGTACGTGGAGCGCATGCGGCCCGGGGTCTGCCACATGATATGCGCCGCCTGGTCCGCCGGCGGGGCCTTCCTGGCCGCCGGCAGTGCCGACCACCACGTGCGCATCTACACCGTGGAGCACGAGCCCGGCGGACCCAAGCGGGTCAGTACCCAGCACACGACTCGTGCAGGTGTCCGGGCTCTGTACACGTGAGTGACGTCTCGTCTCCCCGCAGGTGCTGGAGACTCCGGTCCACGACGACGCAGTGGACAGTATCGCGTGGGCGCACCGCGGCCTGCGCTTCGTGTCGGGCAGTAAAGTGAGTAGCGTAGTGTAGTGTACCGTAGTGTACTGTGTATTGTGTACGTCCGTGTACGTCCGTGTATGTCCGTGTATGGCCGTGTATCGTGTAACGCTGGCCGTTGCAGGACGGCAGCGCGGCGCTGTGGACGCTGCACGCGACGCAGTGGCGCCACGTGCTGCTGCAGCCGCAGAGCGAGGCCGGCGACGGCAAGCGGCTGAAGATGACCATGGTGTGCTGGGACCGCTCCGACGCCTTCGTGCTGACGGCCGTGTCGGACCACAGCATCCGCGTGTGGTGCGCGCGCTCGGCCGCGCCCGTGCGCGTGCTGCGCGGCCACCGCGACGAGGCCTACGTGCTGGAGGCGCACCCCTTCCTGGCCGGCGTCTTCCTGTCGGCCGGCCACGACGGCCAGCTCTTCGTCTGGGACGCGCGCGAGCCCGAGCCGCTCGCCGCCTTCCACAACCGCATCGAGGGCCACGGGGACGGCGCCATCTTCGACGCCAAGTGGGGCGGCGGCGCCAGCGTGG